TAATGGGTTTTACCCATTCTTTTGCTTTATAGCTTATTTACCCTTTTCTTTCCATCTTCTTTCCTTCTCTTCTAACTTTCACTACCTTTCCCGACATTTTCCTTGCCCGCTCTTGCCCATCTTTTTTTTCTCTGTTCTCTCCACGCTATTCCTATGCAATATTTCATAAACCGGAATGCATAATCAGGTTGATTAAATGCAAAAGAAAGAGAAATGTACCGATAATTGCAATTAAGAAATCGTATATTTTTTTTTGCATTATTCAGAAGCTATATAAATATATTTATTTATTTATTTAATTATTATTTGTTTAGATTTTGATAACAATAATCGTAAGCAAAATTAATTTTCCAAAAAAGAAAAATTTAGTTTTTTTCATCTAAATTTCACTTATATTTTTAAAAAAATTTAAATTAATCCTTTTCTGTAGTTCCTTTTTTTTTTGTGTAGAAACTATTGTAGAAAAGTGAGCAAATAATATTGTAAATCATTTATTTTTTGATTCGAAAATTACAAATATATTTATAATTTTACGAAAATCTTTATAATTTGATAAAAAAAAAATCATAAATGAATGAATTACTTCATAAAAATTTGGTCAAATATAAATATTCATTTTATTTGCAATTCCGTCTTTATATTTAAGTTAATGAATTACTTTAAAAAAAGTGAATGCAAATATTTCACATACATTTTTATCGTTCTTTAATCGATAAAAATGAGAAATAAAGAAAGTAAAAAAAGAATATTAAAAAAATAGAAGTAAGTTTTAGTAGAAATATTTCGTATTTGATTATTAATTTTCGATTAAAGCGAAATATATGTAAATCGATTATTGTATTTTAGTTCTTCATTTTTCTTTTGGCATATTGCTTTGCTATAAAAAAGTGTTATGAAGTAAAGAAATAAAATGTGAATAATAATAATAATAATTATAATTATGACGATGATGGCAATAATAATAAATGAATAATAGCTAATCACAAATTCAGGAAACGTTTTCGTTTAATATTTCCGTAATGGCTGCAATCATCAGGAATCCTTGATTATCCAATCATTGACAATGTGAAATAAGTAAAGCAAAGCAAACCGAACACAATTACCTGATATTTGCCCATAGGTAATATTTTGTACCTACTCCTCCACTCTCTTTGCCCATAGGTAATATTTTGTACCTACTCCTCCACTCTATTTGCCCATAGGTAATATTTTGTACCTACTCCTCCACTCTCTTTGCCCATAGGTAATATTTTGTACCTACTCCTCCACTCTCTTTGCCCATAGGTAATATTTTGTACCTACTCTTCCACTCTATTTGCCCATAGGTAATATTTTGTACCTACTCCTCCACTCTATTTGCCCATAGTAATATTTTATACCTACTTCTCCACTCTCTGTAATTTTCATAATTTTAAAAACAATGCTTTTGACATTATAATTTGTTACATAACCATTCTGTAATGTTTTTTTCATTTCTTTGTTCATTTTTTGTTCATTTTTTAAATTTAAATTTTCGAATTTAAAAGTTAAAACTGAAATGTGCTTAACTAAAATATGTGTTTTAACTTAAAATTAATAAAATTAGCAAAAATTTAAAGTGCATTTATAGTAATAAAATATCTAAGACAATAATAAAATTGATAAATAATTGAAATTAATATTATGAAACACCAAAATGTCAAAATTTTTTTTAAAAAAGGAGAGATCTATTGAATTGTGTGTCATTTAATTCATTTGTATTTTTGAAAATTCATTTTTCTTTTTCAAATTTTGGTAAAGAAAAAATTTTCACTAAGAAATAGCGAAAAACTAAAAAAAAAAAAAAATTGCTATGTGTTACAATTATAATCTCATTAAATTTCTTTCGAAAACACTTAAAATCTTAAAAAAATTAAAAATTCCAACTGTATAGTAATATTATAAAAGTAATTAAAAGTAAAATTACTTTTTAACTCTGTCATTGCTAACAGTAATAATAAAGTTAAATAATATTAACAAATGGAAAACTATTACTTTTATCAAATCATATGATATCAGTTACTTCTATCGAATGCATTAAAAGCTTTTAGTATTATGCTTAATGCTTATTTTTGAATTTACTTTGACATACGAATGCTAAAATTGCTGCATTCGATGCTTCTGCAAGCTTTTGCAAGCATCTGCAAACTTTGCAAAGCATTTTGCAAATAAATATTATCACATATATTCTCATATTATAAAACACATTATTTTTGCTATTTATCGAATAAATAACTTTAATATCTTTCTGTTGGAGCAATTTACTGAATTGTAAAGTTACAATTTATTAATAAATAAATATTATCAAACACTGTTACATATAATCATATATTCCAATAAAAATACTAATTTTTATAATAATATAATTTCTGCGTGAACACACGTACGTGAAATTAAGTAGAAAATTGTAAATGGAAATGTATTATGTATAAATGTTGAGAAAAAAAGTTGCAAATTTTGAAAAATGAATCATTTATATTCAATACGAGTAAATAATATATTATCAAAATAATGCAAAATAAAAAATAGAAAAGAATAAAAATTAAAGATTAAACGAAGAAACTGAAATTGAATTGCAGAAAAGAATTGCAATTACTTAAAATTGATTAATCGTTACGTTTGATTTTTTTTTTTTTTTTTTTGCAATGCAAGAAAATAATATTTTTATTTTTTATAAACAAAAAAATAAGTTCAAAATATAATAAATATATGACATAAAATATGAAATAATATAATTTCAATATATTCATTTTGTTAATTACTTTATTAATTCAGAAATTTTATTGTGTATTTAATTTTCTGTAAGAATTTTTCCAAAATTAATTTTAAGTAATGAATTAATTAATCCCATATTCAATATATCGCATAAATCGTTTTCTTTTTGTAATTAAAATGTGCTTCCATAAAATATAACTTACTAAAGTGTATTTCTTCTGATTTAAAAATTTTATTCAAATTTTCACAAAACAAAACCATAATTAATAAAATGAATATTTCTTTTCTTAAATCACTAAAAGTATATTTTCATTTATTTTGAAAACGAAAAAAAAAATGGTAAATTACATAAAATTATGAAAATTATTTGCAACTAATTGTTAATTAATTTATTCGATATTTTTAAAAGTTTGAAACCATTCACATCATTTAGTCAGAGGAATTTTTATTTCTAAAAGAAAAAGGTTATAATAATTATAAATGCAAAAATACAATAAAGTTATATGTTTTGTTGCTATATTTGAATATGAATAAAAATGAGAAATGCCATGAATGCTTTCCATTTATAAATCATCTAAATGATACTAATCTAATCACTGATAATCATTACAATTATCAAATATTATAGCTAATATTTAAATGATATGTACAAATCATAAATGCATTAACATTTCTTCAATTTCAAAAGTAATAAGCCCAAAATTTCTGCTTTAAATTTTCAAATAATTCCAAATATTTGAAATTTTAATTAAAATTATCATAATTTTTGGACAAAAAAAAATTCGATCAATGAAATTATGAATTTTCTAAATAACATAGAATAAGTGGGTCATTTATATGGAATGATTTGTAAGATTACTGATAACAGTTATCATTCAGAATATGGACTATCACTTATCAGAAAATTCCTTAAACAGAATAATCAATACAATACTAATGATAATGTATCATATATATACAGTGATACATTCATCAGTTTATCATTCATCTCTTTATCACTTATCAACTTTGCAATAGCACATAAAGTAATTATATAAAGTGATGAAGAAAGAGGAAAATTTTTTGGAATCTAGAAAAAAAAAGTTGTAATTTAAATATTTTTGAAAAAATTTATAATAAAAAATTGATTTGAGAACACTTTTCACTTTTGTTATCATTTGATAATATTAATTTATAAATTTATATTACAATTCAACTTTTATTGCATTTTCTGAATCAAATAAATTACTTACTATAAATTCCATTTTTTGGTAAATTTAACTTTTGCTTACTCATTTGTATTTGTAAATGAGAGAAGAAAAATGATTGCATTTTGAAATTTTTGATGATAAATGATAGTGATAAGATAGGAAAAAAGTACTACTGCTCAGATAAAGAAAATTAAAAATTAATATTAATTAAATAGGAAAATACAAATGTAATTAAAATCTTCGAAATTGATGAAAGAGAAAATTGAAATCCTAAAAAAAGCAGTTCAAATGTCTGGTTTACACAATTTTACACAGAAAATTTTCATGTTAAATTTTTTTTTTCTGTTTTCTGGATTTACAATTATATGAAGAATTGTGGCTTTGATAGAAAACTAAAGTTTAATTTGAAAATATAAATTAATTCTTTAATTGAGTGCAAATTATTATAACACATTTTTGCAAAATTTTTGGTAGCCAATCAATTGTTCTGGAAACTTTCTTATACTTCAAAAAAAGAGTGTAAAAATGAAAAAAAAAATCTCTTATAAATGTGAAATTCACTTTGTTTGAGCCACTTTCTAACTTTCTAAACAAAAAAAATATTACAACGAAAAATTTTAATTCAATGAACAAAAAACGGAAATAAGCGATAATAATCATTGATTAATCATCGAATTAAAGTGATTTTATCATTTTAGTCTATTTAAATCATCTTTGTTGTCTCAATATATTAGTGAAATAGCTAATAACAATTTTGTGAGACTAATGGCTAACGATTTAATCTATCATTGAATTAAATAAATGTTGCATTAAGTAGCAATCATTGAAAACTGTGTTATGTACTGATCTAATCAATCATTCCGATCATTACTACTATTGTCATTATTATTATTATTTTACGAATAAAAGAAGTGAATAAATGAACAGATAAACGAAATTAATAAATAAAGGCAGAAAAACAATGGAAGAAAATATGTTAATGGACAAAAATATAATAAGAAATTAACAAAAATGATTATTTCATATTTGTTAAACCTTTTTTAAATGATAATATTTCAGCATTTTGCAATATTTAGTCTAATCAATGGCTGGTCGTGTGTCATATAAACTTGGTGCCTATAAATAAGAAAAATGAATTAATATTTTATAGCATAAATAACTATAATTTATTTAAAAATTAGAAAAATTTTTGTTAAAAGAAATGCATATTAAATAAGATATTAAAAGATATGTTAATAATTTTTAACAAAGTTTAAATATCTAAGTTCTATTCAAAACAATGTTTTAATTTACAATTATTTTTTAAAAAAAAGAAAAAGGTTTCACAAATATATGTTTTTTTAAATTTTTTATGTAAAAATTTTTATAAAGTTGCATTTCTAACCTGAAATGAGCGTCTCCTATTTAAAAAATCTGCTAGTAGAGTAAAATTTTAAAATCATATAACTAGTTAAGAATTACCTGAAGAAGAATTAGCGCAGTACCTGAAAAACAGGTAATTGAAAAAAGCAAAAGGAATAATCTGTCAAGTACCATAGCAACAAAATTCCAATCCTCATCAATCTGAAAAAAAAATTTTTTTTTGAAAAATATTTTATTAATGTTTTTTTTTTTTTTTTAATGCAAATTCAATTTTTACTATCAAATTTTACTAAGAGATTAAAGATCACAACTCATTTTTCTGTTAATTTTTGAAATTAACAGAAAAAGAAGAGTAAATAATTCTAATTATTTCAATTAATAAATTCATAACAGAAATTATTGATTTTTGCTTTATAAAATAGTTAAAATACATCAAGAAGGGTATATGATGATAATTATAGATGTATTAAATGAAGAAATTATAATTGAATATCACAGATAAATATAAATCAAAAATTGTATGTACTAAAATTAATAATTATTACTAATTAATATACTAATTGTTAACGAAATAAAATAATTACATAAGCAGTGCTACAATCCTTTTCTTGAATTTTCTAAATTAATCACTCTTAATTGGTGTTTACATCATCGTAATGACTAAATTTAATTCAATCATAATTTGTCATATATATATATATATTTTTTTTTTATCAAAGGAATAATTCACAGCCAAATAGTCATATTTATCACAACAAATAAATTATAATCACTTAAATCATTAAAATACTTAAATAATAATATCGAAATTTTTAATTATATCGAATACAAGAATAATTTCTAAAAGATTGTTATTATCATATATTTATAATTCACAATTATTGTTTACCATCGCATCGCGATCTTTCTTCTTCAACAATTCTGCAATGAAACAAACATTCTCGAATGCTTTGATGACATACGGTGAGCGATAAAGTTTCTGAATTTGCTCATTAATTTGCATATTTGTTGTACGGCATGAATCACAGTTTACTTTTCGTTCATGGCGATTAATAATCACATTTTCACCTTAAAAGCAAACAAAACTTGACACAAATTTTTAATTTTTTATTTCAATTATTAATCAAATTTAATAAAACTAAAATTCTGCGTACTTTGATCAATTTATCATTGATTTTGTTAATTAAATAACCATTGGTTAATGGTTTTTTTGGTTAAAAAGTCAAAAAAAATTCAACTAATTGATTCATATTTGCAAATTTATCGTTTATGAGCTTAATAATTTATAATTTGATCAAAAGAAAGTTTTCTTTTGAAAATTTACATAATTCTCCGCGTCGATGACCAAATTTACGAAATGCTTCATCAGTTTCAATTATGATTGGTCGTCTCATCAATAATATTTTAGGTAAAATTTTCAAAAATAGCCATTTGACCCAATCAGGCATTTGATGAGTTGCTGGCCTCCGAAAATGTAAATTCAATGCTGCCAATAATGAAAAACATTACTTATTTTCATTTTAAATAAACAAATAAATAAGTAAATAAATAAATAATACAAAATATTAGTAATTTTTTTACTTAAAAAATGTTAAAATTAAATATAATTTTAAAGCTTTTTTACCAAAAAAGAAAGAAAACTAACAAATGACAGTAACGAGAACACTGAGTGAAACCATAATCATTGTAAATAATAAATATTTGCCAATTAACGGTAGAGCTATACTTGTTGCCGGAATAATATCTTTCTGTTAATGATTTATCAGATCAATTATCATCAAGTTGATCAATCAATAATCGATAATATATGACAATGAAAAAAAATTTATTCCTATTCAATTTTTAAATTGTTTAAATCGTTCGACGTTCAATATAATATGACCAAGAATTAGCACAATAAATAACAATACAGTTGTAAACACGTAAACAAACTGTAAATAGTATGTATCAATGTAATTTATTTTATTTATTTGTTATTTTTTTCAGAAAAAAAAAAATAATTTAGACGATATCGTAAACAAATGTTTTGTTTTTGTTTACATCATCGCATGAAAACAACATCTATTTCATTTTTCTATCGTTTTATCTTTTTTTCACTTTTATTATTTATATTTGTTCCTCTTTCTGCTGTCAGTTAATTTTTTCTTTCTTTTTGTTTGTAAAATGACTCATTTAAAAATTTTGATTAGACAATAGTTTGAACAAAATTTAAATTAAGCAATTTATTTGCATAATTATACACACAATAATACATTTCATGTAACTGTTTCATATGTTTGTAATTATTTTAAAATATTTCAAAAATGAAATCGAATAACAGATTTTTGAAATTTTCAAAACTGTCACTTCATTTTTTAATGCAAAAATTAATATTAGCAATATCTTAAATTTAAGAAATGAATAAAATAAAACTAATTTAATTCATATTTTATAATTTATTTTGTTTTCAATTTAGAAAAAAAAAAAAAAAAGAAAAGAAAAAAGGAAAAAACAAACCAATAATAAGTAGAAAACAGTTAATGCAACCAATGTTAAAATGCATAATGTGACCTTTTCACCACTTCGTGACGGTAAATAAAAGGCGACAATTGTTAGAAATGATATACCAATGCATGGAAATACCAAATTTACAGTATAAAATAATGGCTTACGACGTAATTCCAAGTAAAACTAAAAGTGATAAAAAGTAAGTTGAAATTTTCTCAATTATTTATTACAAATTATTGACAAATTGAAAAATAGGAAGTTATGATTTCATCCCAAAATCATTCTCAAAATTATTTCATCGCAAATAAAAATCTAAAATGTCAAAAACATAAAAGTAAAATAATATTTTACTGAAAATTTTTACAAGTAATACTATCAATGAGTAAGTACCATAATATCAATGTATGTTCCATCCGAACAACAAGTTGGATAATTCTTTGTACGTCGCTTTGCAATTCGTGACATTATATCCCACTCTACCGATGGATAATAATCAGAAAGATCTGTAATAAAATTAATCCAATGTAATTATATTATTGCTAATTACTTTAAAATAAGCAACAACAAATAATAATAAACAGTGACAATGAATAGATAATAAATATTTATTATCATAATAATAAGTTCTACTTCAAAAACTGAAAAAGAACATTCTTCTATGCAATGATTACCAATTCCCTCTTCAACAATTGTAATATTATTCATTTCACCATTTTCATTCATTTCCAGTTCATAACGTGCTTCACCATCCAAAAATTCCAAATTTAGCAAATTCTCGGAATATGTCCAAGAGCCAAACTATAAGTATTAATGAAGTAATTTCTTCATCTGTTCTTCTTCTCTTTTTTTTCATAAAATTTATTAAATAAATTAGCAACGAACAAGAAAGAAAAAAAAAAGAGAGAGAGAAAACAAAAATAGGAAATGAATATTTTCACCTTAAAATAACATTGTTGCTCATCAAATGGAAACCTATAATATGATATAAAATAAAATGAGAAATAAAAAGAAGCAATAAATTTATATAATTACAATTAAAGTTTATAATTTGTAAATTATTATTTAATTTCGGGTTTTAAGAAATTTTTTTTATTTGTTTTTTTATTAAATTTTAATTTAATATATTCATATTTATGGAAAAATTTTTCTCAGCAAATTTTTAAACAATATATTTGATCAATTTTCAAACATGCATTAAAATGATTTAAGATAAGAGAAAAAGATGACAATGAACTAACCATCGGACATCAATTTGACATAATGTCTTGAAAATAGCAGGTGGTTCCCAGGTTACTTGGCCATCATATCGTAAGGTTGCCTTTGTACTAATTGTTATATTGTAATTACTATCAGCACTAAAAATTAATTGTTTAATTATTCGACTAATTTAGATATTTAGATTAATTATGAAATAACTGATATTTATGGCATGAAATTAACATATATTAATCTTTCAATTCCCATTTTTTTTTTCCTTTTTTTCAATTTCTAAGTGAATTTTAATCGTTTGGGCAAGTGATGAATGCATGATTGAATTATTTTTAAATATATAGAAAGATTTAGATTGTAACTTGTAACGAACAAATTTCGAGAAGCAATAATTTGAAATTTCTTTCCTCATTCCATCTGCAGAAGAAAGAAGGCATTCCTTTTTGATTTTTATCTGATATTTAGATTAGGATTATTTTGCTTTAATATTCAGTCACTTAAAAATGATTAGTGTTTTAATCAAACAAACAACATTCTTATAAATTTATTTAATTCGCCAAAAAAGTTTATTTTGAATTTTGATGTAATGTTGAATTTATGTTTGACACTATTTGCATTTAGATAATAAATATCAAAAATTTTTGTTTTAAAATCAAAAATAAAAATGAATTTTTTTTCGCAATTAATCATTGAATAATGTTAGTTGAAAAATTATTTGCATTAATTTATCCGATAAGATTGTTACGTTTATAAAATTATCACCAAATTAACTGATTAATGAGAAATGAATTACTTATTATATAAGACAATATCAGGTACCCAAATCATTTCATATGGTACATAAAGTACGCTAACACCACCGTAAATGTGTGGGTTCCATGATAATTTCTTATCAGTCCATACTTGCTTTAACCAAACACTGCATGTCATGATTTGATCGATTTCATGCTGTAAAATGTAAAATTGAATGATGAAATCTGATAGAGTTTTGAAATTAAATAAGCTGTAAAAATGTAAATTTTAAAATTTCTTTTGTCGAAATTGATAATTAAAATTAATATTTTATAAATGATTTTTTTTTTTTTATAGGTTATTATTTAAAATATTATCATTTGTAACATTAATTCCAAATATTGATAGTCACGACATTTTAATAATTTAATAATCTAATTATTTCTTATTTATTGTTCAATTAACAAAATTGTTAATTAATAAAATTTGAAATGATAACAATAACATCGTACAACGTCAATAATTTGTGAAAGTCGTAATTTAAGTTTGATATTAATTGGTTTATTTGGTTCTGGTGCTGGTCGTCGATGTTTGTTATAATTTACCAACAAGTCATCATATAATCGTTTTGCATCTTCATTACCGTATGACACCGATATAAATGACATTAAGAACGGTAATATCACTTGAATCATACTGTATAAATTAGCTAAACCAAATAGAAATCATTTTTTGAATAGATCCAAAAAAAAAATTCAAAACAAAAAAAAAGGAAGAAAAATAGAAGGCAAAATGAAGTGATAGATTTCACAAAGTATAATTAATGGTAGACACGATAGTTTGATTAATTAATGAACATGCATCATTGATCAGGAAAATATATATAGTCCATTGAATTGTTTAAAAAGTAGGAATTTCAGATTTAAAATTTTGTCTCAAGTATAAGCTATGCATGAATGACATCTGTCATATTTAATAAATTATTGTTATTAATTATTATTATTATTATTATTAATACTGTTATTGTTAATCATTGATTATTATCACTATTATTATTATTGCTAATTATTTAAATGTTGAAAATTTAATAACAACTGACGAAGACTTTTTTTATTACATCATATTTATATAAAATTTCTCTCAATCAGTGTCAAAATTTCATATATTTGAAAATACTGCAAACCGTTACAAATTCAGTTTCAAACATTACTTTTGTGCATTTTTTTGGAAAAAGATTTATTAAACCAATAAATAAAATAAAAAAAAAACATTATTAATTGAAATGGAACTGAAAAGGAATTAAATACAACAAATTCACTGCATGCGTATAAATGAATGAACAAATAAATGTATGAATGAGTTAAATCAGTCTGTTAAATCAATCTTTTTAGAAAAAAAATTTTTTTTTTTTTTTTAGTAATTGAAATAAAATAAACAAGGAAAAATGGAAGTAAAATTGAATGGATGATGTTTATTATTTACTTGCTTGAAATTGAAAACAATTACATTGTTCATTGCTAACATCTGTCATACAAAACAGCGCGCACTGCAAGCTAGCAAGCAGGCAAGCAAGCTAGCAAGCAAGAAAGTAGGCAAGCAAGTAGTAGCAGTAGCATTAATTGTTAAGCAGTAGCAGTAGCAGTAGCAGCATTTTCAATCATTTGTCAAATATTTCGAAAACCAATGGATGAATATAAATACTAATAAATTCCATGTCATTAGTCTTTTCTCTCTTCATTTCTTTCTTTTCCCTTCACTTTCTCTTCCTTTCATCTGTTATTTCATTTTTCCCTTTTTTTTTTTTTTTTTTTTTTTTTGTTTTCCTTTTTATTTCTGAAAAAAAAAAAAAATGAGCAAAACAAAAAGAGAAAAATGAAAGATTTGAAATGAAATGAAAAAAAAAAGTTGTTGAATTGATGGAAGAAAGAAAGAAAGAAAGCAAATGTAATTTATAGTTTGTTATTTATGTGAAATTATAAAAAACGAAATTGTCTCACATTTTTTTCCTACAATTCAATTTCTATTTTCTTTTTTTTTTTCTTTTGTAGGATAAATTTAAACTTTATAATATGCAAGTTTATTGCGCTAATAATCGATATGAAAGTTTTTTTTTTTCTTTTACAGATTTTTATATAATTTTATTACATTTAGTCTTCGAATTCAGATCCAAATGAATAATAATAATAATTTAGCTGATCGTTTATAGTGATCAAACACGCACGTCATTAATTTTATTTATTAATTACACCTTTCGTTAGTTTTAATTATTTTCTCTAATCAATCTCAGCTCTAACCAATTTCAGGCTAACAATTTGGAATTCCACCATTCCCATAATTAATAATTATCCTCCCAATACCACCAAAACCAATATTTTAACTGTAGCATTTAATTTTTAAAATATATATTTTCAAATTGACTTTAAGATGTTGTTGAGATATTGTGAATTTGATTCAAAAGATATACAGATGAGATTCCTCTTCTAGTTTCATTTTAGCAACAAATTTTTGTCACAAATGACATTAAGATACCCTCCGATAGCTGATATCCTGATATCAATTTTATGTTTCATCAACCAACAACAAATGTTTTCCATTGATTAATTTATGATCAAATACAATTCAAATAATTAACAGAACACAATCTTAATAAAATCTTTAAACATTAAATACAAATTTCAAACTATACAAAAAACGGAAATAAAAAACATGCAACAATAAATTCTAAGAAATTTGACACTTTTAGGAAATATATTTGAAAAAAAATCACCTTATGAAATGCCTGAAAAAAAAAAAACTTCAGTGTTATTTTTAGACAATTTATAACTTTTACAACGAAAACTTTAGTCAATGCATAGAATAACATTTAAGAATTAATCATACGGCAATATCATCAATTAATGAGCCAAGCTTTGCAAATAGACTGGAATCATTTATGTCTTCTTAAGTTTTCAGAAATAAAAAAGAAGGTTCATTAGACACTTATGCCTTCTTTGCTTTGTTCTATTTCCGCTTTGAAATCCATTCGTGGTTCGAAGACTTGTCCCTCAGAAAAGATATGCACGCATCAAAAACTTTGTGTATTTTTTAAAATCCACAAAAATCATTTGAATAATTAGTACTAATAAGAAGGCAAATATATATATAACGAAGAGATCGGCAATACAAATAAAAATAAATGGAAAACTTTATGTACAATGAAGAAGACGAAAGGGAAGAAAAAAATAGAATTGAAAATTTCATACAACTGATAAACAAGTAATATTATTGAAAGATTAATATTGATTATGAGAGATGAAAGGATCATTTTAAGTAGTAATAGAAATCAGCCACTCCCACTTCAGTATGTAGCTTAATTTCATGAATAAAACCACTACATCATTAATTATACAGAACTTCAATCATTTAGAAGAAATTATGTATAATCTCTTCATTCCTATAGATTAAGACGTATATTACTATAAAAATTCGGTAAATGATACTTCCAACACAACATCACACACATTCATGCATTCCTCATAAAACTGATTTGCAAAAAGAAAAAAAAAGAAATAATGAAAGTGCAAAAACCAGCGAAATGATGTCAAAAAATGCAACAAAATCGATATAATTTCTTATGAAAAGAGAAAACGAAAGTCTCTGAATTGCAAATAGGGGAAAATGTGAATTAATTGGTTATTATTACCTACAGAATTGCATAATTTCTGTCCTATTTGAAACAGCTTTATTTGTTATGCAATAACTAACAATTAATAAAATCAAACAAAACGAAAATTTCTGAAACAATCTTATCACTTTATTAAATTCCTCAATACACCGGGATTCATTTGAAAAAGACAAAAAATTCCAAAAATGCTTCAGTAAAATAAAAAAATACTAAAGCCAATCATATTGATAAATTTAAACGTTAAACATTAAAAGTTCATTGCAGTTTGACAGCGACGATAGAAAATTAAATTATACTCATCAAAGCTACGTCCACGTTGAGATTCATTCATATTGCATGATTCGGTACTATAGCCAATGCGAAATCGATATGCACTATGCACATAATTGCCAACTGGTAACTCATAGATTCCTTCTACTATCTGAAAAATTAAGGAGTTAAATAATTCGAAATGATAAGAAGCATAACATGACAAGCAATATTTGCCTGTAAACGATGATAAAAGTGATAAATTATTCCTTTTTTAAATATGAAATGGATAAATACTTACAAGGAGCAGTTTGTAATGATATACAAAGCAAAAATTTACGAGAAAAAAGAAATACAACCTCGAATAAAAAATACCTTTTGAACTACTGGTTGTTTTCCACGATCTGTCCTTATAGCATGTTCATCATTACACGGTTTTTGATCAAAATCTCGCAAACTACCACAATTATCAATATAAGTACCACTATCTCCAACACTAAAATTTAAAATTGAACAGTTCAAATCTATAGAAAATTATAGAATAATATAAATCTATACTATTTTATTTAGAAATAAGGAGAAAAAAGGATGATAGTGTATGGATATCATCCAGGCTGTCTATTTGCAACTAAACCAATATACCTAAATAAGAATTACAAAATATTTTTGAGATTAAAAAATTTCTTCTCTTATAATAAATTGACTAAAATTTAATCTCATTTTTTGCAATAAATACTTCATTGAATACTTAAGCTTACTCGTTGCACTAGACAAGAAGAAATGAACCTTTTTAATCTATCTAACCATGATCCATATGTCACATTATTCGTTGGTAAAAAAAGTTATGAGCAGCATTAGTAGTAACCTACTAACAATGTTCAAATGACTTAATAAAATAAAACACTTGACCTACTCCTCAGAAGCAATTTTTTTAATATATTATGGATGGTCTAAAAACAAAACAAAAGTACCTAAATTAAACGTTAAAAAAAAAAATCAAAAACCTTCAGCTACTATTTAATAATTATGTACTACATACGAAAAAAATTCCTAGTGTGAAACATACTCAAATTTAATTTCCAACGGAACTGTTGGCATAGTCGGTGAAATGGGTATGTAAAGGGTGTAGAGACCACGACGTGGTTCACAACTATCGTTTATACAATATCGACCATCGATCGTTACATTAAAATCCAATATTTCAATGATAATATCTGATGCTAATGATGAAAAAACGGCTCGTCTATCGAGAGACAATGGTCGATTTTCCGAACCATTTCTGACTTTTAAGAATGATTGTTGTTGCTGCGATAGAGTCAAAACTGTTTGCTGATTCTAAATTGTAAATGCTTGCAATCTTTTTTGTTAAAAAAAAAACTCAACAATGTCTTGAAATATATATATATATAAAATTCCAATACTCTTGTAAAACTTATTTACTTAAGCTGATATTTCTGTTTGTTTCGGCTAAAAAGATTAATTGGTCACGCAAATAAAGTTCTGTCAACAAATCTGACCAGTAAAAATTTAGCAGAATGAGACAGAAACTACCACCACTTCCCTCAGAGTTAACTTTTTTTTTTCTAGAAAAATGAGAACATCGTTTTTTTTTTTTTCTTTTTTTTGTGCTGAAAATGAAATCTCAATGGATCTATGGAATCAATTGGGAAAATTAATTTAAGAATTAAAAGTTAATACCTTATCAATAGAAATATCATTTGGTACGTTATATTCATCACGTTCCATGCAACAAAACATATGACAATACATATGATCGCATGAAACGCTTAAAGGTGGCGCATGTGGTTGAATTGGTGGCTTCCAAATATTATCTTTGACTTGAACAATTTGACCAATTTTACCACCCTGTTCCAACACTACTGGTCCATTAGTGCTACTACTTTCAAAAATATACGGCCGTTTCTGATATCCAAATGTTCGATTATGCCAGTCTAGCACATATAATGTTGACATTGCTATTAAGCTTAAAGGAAACCAAATTAATCTTCAATTTTATTAGTGAATTGGTAGTAACATTAAGTTCATATCTTTTATCAGTGAATTAATGTACGGACAAAACATGTTCTTGATGTGCTACCAGTTTTTAAATAATTTCGGGAAATCCTGGAATTTTATGATAAATCGAACAATTTCTGCATTCAGTTGTCCAATCTACCTTTATATTTACAAAAACAATATGACGTTAAAGAAATTACCAAATAGCCATTATTCCAACAAGAACGACAATTGTTCCCTGCGTTACTTTCGAACTACACAATGGAGGTTCCACACGATGACAAGATGGATTTCTGCAATGCCAGTGTTTTTCACGATTTCTGCCCCGTTCTTTATTACTCCTGTAAAATAATACTGATAATTGCAAAGATCTTTTTTGAAAAGCTTCAAAAAATGAAAAGTTTTGAATTAACAAAAGATATTAAATAAATAAAAATCGATATAAATGCTGTAATTTTTTTCATCCTCAGAATTCTCCAGGGCTTTCTAACATCGCACTCTTTTTCAGAAAAAAAAGAAATTCCAGAATTCTTTTAAAAAAAGCACTCACCTACGATGACATTTGTCCCGTGAAACACAGGATGGAGTAATTGAAGCAAGTGATGTATGCGATGACATAAAGCTTGCTTTATCAGAAAATCCAAGGTCACTAAGGCCGCTTGCTAAGCTGCCGACATCCTTATTTTTCCGCCGATGTAATCTGGCTAATTTGTGAGATAACTTTTCAACAGCTTCAATTTTGTGCTCCAAATTCCCTGTAAGGCGGCAAAGTTCAGTTGCTGCTGCAACTGTTTCATAGAATATCCGCGAGTCATCAACCTAAAATTTGGATCAGTCTAATTTGGCTACACGATTATTTAAGTCATAGCTTATCTGACAGTCCAGTTATTTGTTAAATTTTCAATTCAAGCCGATAAATATTATGACCAATATTTAAAATCGCTATTCTCACAAGCGATTACATTACACGACCTCTTGCACTGTAGAACGAGAAAAATCAAATAACTGAAGAATTTTTCAAGTTCCAAGAAATCTGCAGCTTTAAAGAAAATTATGCACCTGTAAGTAATCTCCATTATCGGTCACGGCATCTGGTAAAATCTCGGCTAACTCTTGAGCAATAACGCCGACCCTGTGACGATTTTCCTCCGACAAACCCCATTTTAGCGCTATTTCTGGTTTGTAGGAATAGCCAACAACACGAATTTGGGCAAGATGAGATAAAGCGATTTTGGTATCCACCTGTTAAATTTTCTTTAAATGTTTTATAGATTCTCTTTCAAAAAAAAATCTTTTCCAACTCTTAAAAATAGTAAAATTATTTAAAAAATATCGAAACTATAGGAGATGCATCTAAATTGAACCTCATGGATTTGTTCTTTCATTCGACGATCGGATGGGCGATGCACAACTCCAGAGCAATAGATGTCACCACCAACAGTCAACGGTGCAACAGCTCGATCCGTACCAATTGCCACCGAACCACTATTATAATATAGAGTGGAACCATTCTTCTGCCAAGTAGCATCTGAATCCGGTGGCTCAAACTGACCTGGATTTGAAGCCTGTAATAACAGAAACAATACTAAATTAATGGATATTAAACCAATCCTAGACATCTTATCAACTATCTCTGTTTTAGTAAAAAATTTATTTCCAATTATTGATTTTCTTGCTTATTGTAATTTATAAATAACTTCAGTTGCTATCAATGTTCTATAGACATCATCTTCTAGCTAACTAATATTTCATTTCGCATTTCATGCATATTTCCTTGTGATCGGTCGTAAGTTTAATGAAAAATTGACTGGAATTTCAGAAAACAATAGAAAACAACAGTAAAGCTTACTCGAACAATTACTTTCTCGGATTGATAGGCTTGAACAATTGCATCATGTCCATCGGCAGTACACGCAATCAAACGTACAACAAGTAGAAAGTATTTCTGATCAGGATTTGGACGACCGTTTTTTCGCTGATTATTCATCGTTGTTTCTGAGAAATGCAGCCTTGGTACAGTCACTTTTGTCATACGTCGTTCATGAATTTCAAGTCTGAAGTGCAGAATTAGAACCAAGAGTTTGAACAAATTTCGAATTTTGTTATTTAAGCTTTCATAAAGTAATGGAACAGTGCAGAAGAAAAATGAAAATCTTGAGAATTTAAGCGTATAATCATTTCAAAAGTAAGATTTTTATTCTTTAATAAAGATAATTTCGTGATATGAATAGCTGTCTAAGGCAATTCATTTTATCAGTTTTGTAAAAAAAAAGTAAGAAAATAAAAAAGGAAACTTACGACACAGGATCATGAGGTACTGGCCTTCTATCCGTTGTTGATTGCTTGATTTGTATCTCTGACGTTGGCATTTCACTTTTTACACCACAAAATGCTAACTTAAATTCTTTTACCATTTTCAATTCGTTACCTATTTTGACGAAATTTGGCGGATGATTATCAATTGCTTCGATGTGTACAGAAATCTGGAAAAAAAAATATATTCATTTTTCCCGTAACACTTTCGAACTATCCAGAAGACACTTTTAACAATCTAAATGTATAAATAGTTATCTGAAGTAAAGGTAACAGGTGTCGTCGCACGAAGTACAGTTATGGAAGTAATGTAAAGAACGAGATATGTAAGATGAAGCAGAAAGGAACTGTGAAAAGAAAAGTGGCAGCAACACTACGAATAATTATATGAAAAAAAGAATGAAAGCATGTAAATAGTAACTAATAGGTAATGAGCAAAAAAAAAAAAAAATTCATTCTCACAAAAAGAATGAGTTAAAATTCCTGCTAAAATATTGCTTTTGAGTAAATATTTCAGTAAACAACGAAATTCGTTTATTGTCATAATGGGAAAAATTAATACCTGAAAGTGATTTTTCTTCTGATTCACAAAGCAATTATCCATAGTACTGTAATTGAATCCTTTATCCGCTACAACATGCATTTCCAGTTGATGTAACGGTCTTTGATTGATATCATACAAAGTAGCCCAGTGTTCTTCATTGAATGCAGTGAATTTGATCGCTTGCTGGTGGAAACTATCATCAAAATCTTCTACTGTAGTTACCGGCGATGATATGACTGTAAGTTGACTGGGTAACGAGAATACCTGAAAGATCGTAGTGACCGGTCTTTTAAATATCATTACTTTTAAATATCATTACTAAATTTACAATAAAAATCCCAAATATTTCATGAAAATTAAATTACAAATTTCCAAAGAGCAAATATTTAATATAATCTAATCATCTCCAGTTATATTCGACTGAGTAAGGAAAAAAACTTCCGGAACAACAAGTGATGAGTTTTAGCACAATACTATTGACTGCATTCTGCTGTATCACTTACAGAAATCAAAATTAAAAAAAAAAAAAAAATGCATATGTTAGACAGACATTTATTCAACATTATATCATCTCAATATTTGCAACAATCTAAACGTCTGAAAAATTTCCAAAAATTTAGGAGTGAAAAAACCGTTCTAAGCAAACTTTTCTTCAACTTATACAAACGAATCAGGAAACAAATTTACCTTCTGTGGTTCACTTTTCACATTAGCTGATACCGGATTATGTGGTTGTTGTTGCTGTTGTGATGGTGGTGGTTGTTGCTGCTCTGATCGCATACGTTTACGACTTACTTGGCCATCGCTCTGAGAGCTCGAACCATCTCCATCACTAGCTGCGGAACTGATTACATTACTATAGGGATCCATCTGATAATCATTATTCTGGATCAAATAACCACTATTAACTGGTCTCATGTTGACAGCTGGAGGTGAAACCTGCAAGATTTTAATAATTCTAATAAAAAATTTCGAAATTTATAAATGCGTGAATTAAAATTAGACATTATTAATTTTTCTTCCTCACAATTCAAATATAATCAAAAAATGAACACCTGAGGTAATGCAGAAGGTGTTGACTGCGGCGGATATGCACCACTATTACCGATGAAGTCGGATTGTGGTGATGGTAAAACATGCTGCAATATACGATTACCAAGATGATTCTGTTGCAAAAGTTCCTGCGGTACTAACATATGTGTTGCTAGATCAGGCCGTACACCAAGGATCAGGCCACTGCCGTTCTGTTGAGTACCATGGATAACTGTAAATTTCATCATTTTAAAAAATGAATTTGTCGTCCTTTTTTTCTAAAAAAGTTACTGAATTTAAATTTAAAAAATTTGAAGAAAATGTAATATACTTTATGCTACAAATAAAGTTTTCTCTTCCAAAACTATATGCCTAAATTTACAAGAGATTATAAGAAAAATAAAGATACGTAACAAATTCATCCTAGAAAATAAGAAAATAATTTGATGCTTCCTTACAATATGCGATCCCCAATTATTTAAATATGAAAAAGGACAAATTTTTATTAAATTAAACACTGGTTATGGAAGAAAAATGTGAGTGAGTACGTCTGAGAGTAACTGTGTTTGTATATCCAATGTAATGTACATATACCAGTATATATACAAATGTTTATATTTTTGTATTGATATACTTTAACATACGTACATGAATATATTTTACAGAAAAAAACTCTTCTCTACGAAAATTGTCTCGTAATTCTTAGGTTACAAAAGAGGGAAAAGGTCATTTTGTGTATGAACTAGTGAAAGAAGTGAACTGAACGAAAGAAGGCCAGTTCATCATCCATTTCACGTTTTAAAAAATTTTCACCATTTATTTATAACAACTCTTTCAAAAATCGTGAATTGTAGTCGTATTTCCTCCACTACTTTTCAAGGTGGCATTTTAATTATAAAAAAAAAAAGTTCGTTTGGCCGAATCCCTGCCATTTCATTGCGTTTTTCTGACAATTTACCTTTTGTAATGTCCGAAACATTACTACACAATTCTTGTAGCATTACTACACAATTAGTCGAAATGTTACCGCTATACTTCGCAAACCCTAATGAACACTGCTCGGTTTTAGGCCGAAACAATTATCAATATTATCTTATTCAGTTGGATAATCAGATCGTATTTTTTCATGGCAGTATGTCATACTACATAGCCATAATATTCGAGGAATTAGAGATTAATCAAACTTCATTGGTTTGTTGAAAACATTTCAATTATTAACGGCAGTTCTCTCCATCACTCAGAAATCTGTCCGATAATTTCATTTGTTGTTAAAAATTCAAATTGAAAAAAAAAAAAGGACCAAAAGTTCATGAAAAAATGAACACAACTTACGTTGATAATTCTGGTAATTATCCGGTGAATAAGGTGAATCTGAAGTGGAGCTCGGTGAGCCCGATGAGCCAGCGCCTGAGATATCCGTGATTGGTGGACTATCAGGTAACCTAAAGTATGTATGGATGAACACTGTTTAAAATATGGAACGAAATCACAAATATACAAGAACTTTTAAAAACAACAAAACTTAAATTTAAGTCTTCTACAAAAATTTTAACTATTCAATTTCAACAAAAAAATTCCCAATTTATTAGGGCTTCAGTGCTTTCCAGAGCTATTTTACTTTATAAATTATCACAATAAACTGAGATTACTCAATTTACACTCACATTCAAGTAAGCGCAAATCAAAAAGAATAAGAAAGTTTAAGCGGAAGAATGTTTCTGAATTATTTTCATCATTTCATATGGATGCTTGTTTTTCAAATTTCACTAATATAAGACTTAAGTCTATAAAAAACATATTTTTATATCCAAACTTTAAAAAACATCTAAAAAACAAATCTAACAGTTGAAGTATATGGCCAATATATCAGCCTGCACTAATAATTTTTTTTTTTTTTTTTTATTTATGAAATTCAGTATTCTCAATTACTAAACTAGTTTTAATTTAAGAAAAATTAAACTTTATTTGAAAAATCATTAAAGTCATATAAAGTTTTAACAAGTGAATGATATAGGCAAGTTAGGCAAGTAACTTATCTACGAATTAATCAATGCAAACAAATAAACACGAAAATGAATGAAGAGATGATTTCGGTGCCAGGAACCATTCCTCTTCTTCCGAACAAAAAAAAAAAAAGTATGAATGAGAACAACGAGAGCGGTCATTTGATAAATTGAATGAATGCAACAGTTGCTATGCCAATTTAGCTCATTGCTTCGAAACATTTCAAATAAAGCAGTTAGCAGTAATGGTTAAAGAAACTTTTGAAGCTTGAAAAATGATAGAGAAAAAAAGAAAAAGATACAGTGGTATTTCCCATGAATTTACTAAATAAACCCTATCAGATAGCTTTATTTCGATGGTCTTTCTTCCTCCTTTTCGTTTTTCCTATTTCTTCTCATTTCTCGCTCAATAATTCTTTTTTGGATTTCTTTGAACAAGAGGATACAAAAGCAGAACAAAATTTTCGCAACATCTTTCCCGTCTTTACCATCAATCTATCTCTTCCATTTATTTTAAATTTTCATTGGTAGTAAGCATTACTAAATTAATTTGATAAAAAATGAATGAAACAAACTAGGCATTTTGAAAGATTCCTATTTTCTCGTAAATATTTTACAAAACCTAGAAGAAATTTATACTAGTTGAAATGAATGATCCGAAAAGTAATTGGATATCATTTGAATGCATGTTGAAATGACAACAGTGCTAAATTGATTAAAAATGTCACAGTTTTCCGTTTAATATCATTAAATCTTGAATTACAAATTCTGCACAATCTCAATAATTTTCATACAAATTTACTTTTTAAATTGCTAAGCTGATATAAACAACAATTCCATTACGGATGATTTTTATTGACAGATTCCATTTCTATAGCAAAAGAGTTACAGCTATCCTAAACTTGGTTAAATCAACAATCAAAGCGATTGGCAATATTATTTCTTTTTTTGCCTTACGAAGGAATTTAACCTTTGTTCATTAGTTTATATTTGATTCAGTTTTGTTTGAAACTATATAGAATATATGCTCATTTCCAATAATACAAATAGTTTGGTTAAAACAAAACTTTATGCAACAAATTTAAGTGATAACTCGTAATTACAAAAATTTCATTAACTTAATCCAGAACGATATCCATTAACCGGTTATAAAACAACAAACATATTACCTGGCTGGATTCTGATACATCATTTTGTTGGCCGCTTCGGAAATTGCAACAGTTGTGATGTTTTGGTGCGATTGCGGCAGTGGCGGGTGATGCTGCTGTTGTTGTTGCTGATAATGATGTTGCTGCGATTGTTGTTGTTGTTGATGTTGATGATGATGATGATGATGATGATGACCTTGTACGTGTTGCGAGATGAACCGAGTAGTATCTGCTACAGGACTATCAATCGGGGTGCTGCAAAACTACAGTCCTTTTTAATCCTAATGATGGCGGTGGTAACAATGACAGATGAAAAGTACAATTGTAAAATTAGTTTCAAATTGAAGGAAGCATATACTTCGAAATTTAGAAATTCTCAAGTATATCAGTTAATGAACTTTTATATTTGTAGATAAAAAAAAATTCCTCAACTTCATTCAATAGACCTAATGCTAAAGACCAATTGATGGAATAGCGAATGCAAATGTTTTACTACATATTCTTAATATTTAGATTTTTCATTAAGTTCGAAAAAAAGTCGAGAATGTGAGAAACCATTAATAAAAATGTGAAAGATCATTAATTAATATTACGAAAAGGTTTTATAATTTTTTTTCCTTTCTAATTAGCCGTATGATATTACATCAAGTCATTTCATGCTACTCTTACAAACTTCATTTCTCTACAGTTCAATACTGATATTAACAGATACACACACTTCGTTTCTGCTCTAAGAAAAGGTTTCCCTTTTCTGAATAGACAATCAAAAAACCTTGAACAATTCAAAGGTACATGTAAAAAATTATTTCCACCGTTATTGTAAGAATTACTCTATTTTTGTAAAGGTTAGAAGAAAAGTCTCATTTGAATCGTTTTTTTTTTTCTTTTCACAAAAATAGATGTTTAAAAAATTTCAATCATACCGTAATAATTATTTTTTAGTAAATCATGACATTTTCCCCATATAATATCTTTAAAAATAATAGTTTTCTTACCTTTTCTTTAATTTTTTTTTTTTTTTTTAGTTTTCTTACCTTTCTTTAAAAATAATAGTTTTATAATAGTTTTCTTACCTTTTCTTTAAACGTCTTCCTTAATTTGATATTTCTAAATTACTTTCTAATTCCAGTAAAGAACTGGAATTAGTTCCACATATTAATTCTTTAAATGGTATTAATAAAATAAAACAATAGTCTTTTACTAACATTTTAAAATCGTGATTATAATAAGAAACAGTTCAGATGTACTGCTAGTGATATCCAGTAGTTATTACAATAGAAAAAACTTTTGAAATGACCGGCAGTAATTTCTCTTATGAAATACTTTGGATCTAAGTTATCATCGAATTAAATTTTAGTAGATTACCACTACATTTTTTCTAGTTCATTATTCTCATATTTTCCAGTTCAAAATATCAAATTAGACTTATCATTCGAGTATGAACGGAACACAAACTCTTATATTCTGAATTTAGCAATTCCAAGATTTTTGTCTTTGGTAACTATTTATTTTCTGTCTTAATGTGCTTCCGTTACCTTTTATTCCATATCATCCTTTTTAATCACTATTACGAAGAATTAAACGAAAGAAACATACGATGAAAAAAAAAAGAAAATATCACCTGTTCTCGTCCAAAAATCGCACAATATCGAAATCACCCGTGTAATCGCTCAGTGGATCACTAAACGCCGTATCCTCTGCAAAAAAAAGAACAGAAGATAATAAATATGATATAACAAGGATAAAATGTTACAACATCCTCAATCACTTAAATGTACAACTTTAAAGAACAACTGATATCAACCATCGCCGCATCACAACCAAAACTATCTAGTCATCCATCACGCAGTTTTTACGATAATGATCTGATTAGAAGCTGAAAATAGTTAAACACTGAATTTCTGAACGACAATTTCGATACCAGTGGTCAGTTTAATCTATCTCATGATTAAGAGTAATTTGAATGCTACTATATTTCTATATCTTTTGAAATTATTTCAAAAACTTTCGTTCCCTAATTAATCTTCAGTTATCTCAATTGACAATAATCTCATATAAATCCAATTATCATTATCAAAAAAGAATAGATCCTAATAATCCGGAATTTATTTGTGTGCATCATAAAAATACTACAAATATTTTTTTTTTCTTTTTTTACTCTATCAGTTTCAAAAAACATATTGTTTGAAAAAGTGCTCTTTTATGGAATATGACAGTTTGTATGCGACTCATTCTTCCTACGTCAAAAAAATACTGATATTACCAAGAAAAAACTAAGAAAAAAACACATGTAATAATGATGATAACCTATTGATATGAATTATTTTCAGTCATCCAAAACAGACTAACAGAATTACTTAGTGTAAGATTCACCGCATTTGTAAGCAAACGGAAAAAGGGATGGAAGTAGGAATAGAAATATGGGAAGAAATAATAAATATAGCATTAAATAATGAATAATTTATTAAATTTTTAGTGCATTAAAAAAACTGAATATAATCCTTATTTTCTTGTCTCATTTTTATAATGCGCTCTTCTTTTTCTAAATTTCATTTAGCTTCTATTTGGAACTAGATACATCAGAAAAGAGCTGAAAAGTAATGATACGGGACCAGTATAAAAAGGAAAGACAAAACTAGCTCTGCTTTCTGTCCTTCCCTGCTCTATGCTTAAGTGTGACGTTTTGGTGCCAGGCGGTAACAACTTTAAAAAAACTCCAAAAAAAAAAAAAAAAAAAAGGAAAATCCTTTTTCTATTCTCTTATCCTGATCTAAAACTAATGCAGTACGGATAAACTTAGTTTACTTTGTATTTTGCCATATACGTATATGTGTCATAACATTTCACGCATGTATATAAATGTTACCAAAATTCACACATACAACTAATACACCTCAGTAAATTTACATTCCATTCAAAAATAACAATACGTATATAACACACATAACGTATCACTTAGCACATAGTTCTGAAATAGGAAAAAACTTTAATTTCATAAATCTTCCTTATTTATCACAAAAAATAATATTCGCTTCCCACATTTTAAATAGTTATCGCACTTTATGAATATTTCTAATTCTTCGAATAATACTTGTACTTTATTAGTTGGATGATTCCGTCTTCCACCTTTATTTCAGTTATCAGTAACGATATCAACTTGGTACATCATTTCTTCCTCTTTTACTTTTTTCATATAAATGAGTAATTTTATATGATAGAAAATACCGATGACAAATCTATGATATATTATATTATTTTAGGAACATCTTTAAATCATTGAAGAAAAACATAATATGTTATTGACATTAACTGTCTATGATAGGTTTTTATGATAGGCTACTATGAGTCAATAAAAAAAATATTCATTCAGTATTTTCATGATTATCAATATTTCCATAAACTATTTGCTCCTGAAATTATTACGATTTATTGCAACGATAAACAAATCTTTGGTAAGAAATCTAAGTTAAATCTACAGTTTAAAATTAAATTTACGTCAATGATACATTAATTTTATGATATATGATGTATATGAATGATATATAAATGATATTTATACAATTTCCGAGTCGTATCCTAAAAATTATCAGTTAATAGATAAATTAGTGTTATATAAAGAATAAAAAATAAAATTTCTTAACATTTTCAAACAATTAGCTCACAGATTGTTGAAAGAGCATGATTGTGCCCACTTCTCTATAATTTATTCAGGTCATACGTTACAATTCATGAAAGTCAACAATTTTCCTCCATCTTTCTTCTCACATTCAATCATTCATGTTCTAACAGCACATATCTTTAATCATATCTGCATTCCGGGAGAACAAAAATATAAAATATCTTTAAAAAATAAAATTTCTAGCAATAATTTCCATAATGTATTTGCCCACACTCTTCCAATCCATAATCACTCTTAGTTATTAGTCCATCCAATCTTCGGTTTCAATTAAAATCAATCATTCTTTCACCTTCATCATCTACACCTAAATTTGACGAAATTTTCGAAATCGACCAAGCGATGATGCGCTCCAACATTCTTCCATGACAATCTTCTCCATCTACTCCAACTATTACAAAAAAAAAAAAAAAATCGTCGAAAATATGGAAGGATTCGGTCAAAGTGGTGGTCATTGAACAAACTGGGTCACTTCTCCATTCATACGAGTTTACGATTAATTCATTCAAATTATCTTTTTGTTAATATTCACAAGGAAAAAAATTCTTTTTTTTAATCAAAATTACAAGAACTACAAATCTTTCGCTCAAACTGAAGTCCTGTCACACTGCTGAATCTATATCAATGAATCCAAAACATCCATAAATGAAAAGAGAAAAAAACAAAAAAAACACAAAGAAAGACCTGTTTAATATTAGAATAAATATTGATCCTAATCTTCTTATATTCTTTAAAAAATTGCAGTTTTTATGTTGCTACAGGAATTGATAATCCAAAAGATTTAGACATTTCTAAATGTTTTGTGAGAGCAATTTTTTTCGTAATCACTAATCATGACTATTACATTTAATGTTAATCCGAACAGTGCTTTACTTTTCTTATTCCCGCATACGTCATAATAATTTCGAAAACTATCATCAAATTCACAAATACTAAGTGATCTACCTAAGGATTTTATCATTCCTAATTCACTCTTCATTCCAATCAAATCAAATTAATTATCAATGAAAAAGTCAAATGAAGTGTGCAAGATCTTAGAATCAATTGTGTTTATACTTGAGAATCATATTTCATCCTCTTCCTTTCTTTCTTCCATCTTTGTAACCGAAGTAAATAATCAAAAACCTTCCATCTAATATTAGTGTTAACTGTCAGATAAAGTTGAATGACCAATAAAACACAAAACAATAAAATGGGAATCAGGAAGTTAGCTAAGAAAAAATGAAAAAAAAAAAAAGAAGGAAACTGATGATAAACTGCTGCTTCTTCCTTTATTCTATCTTTTCACCTAATCCATCGAATTAAGGAAAAATAGGAGAAATATCCGCCCCCTATCCTGATATGAAATATGAGATACTTATTTTTTTGAGGAAATAGAGTGATTAGGTGTTATTCAAATTAATCGATCTAATCCACTGATTATCAATCAGTCAACCAATCAATGTCCACCTTTTGAATAAACTGTCCGCCTTTTAGCCATGCAGTTGTTGTCGTTGTTGCTATTATTATTGTTGTTGTTGCTGTTGCTGTTCTTGCTATTGTAGTTGGTTGTTGAAGTTGTTCTTATCACTAGGAGCAATATTTCATGAGAAATAGTAGAAAATTGCGATGATAAGAAAGGCCGACAATTAGATGGATCAATTTAGAGAGTTTTTAATTTGTTACCAGTTGTAATGATAGTGGTAGTAATGGTAGCAATCGTGATAGTTGATCGTGGTCAGTTACAAGGATATCTGTCGATCGGTGGTAGTAATGATGGTGACGATGATTGTGATAGTCGTAGGAGTAGTAGGGTGGTAGTGCTGGGATGGATTTAGTATATCGTCAATGATGTCGTAGAAATAGCAGCAATAGCTTCGGTAATGATCAGTGCAGATTGGTAACGAACGATGGTGACAATGGCGGTTTGTGTCGCAAACGATAATAGGTTTCTTATTGGTTCCTCCTTTTCTTTCTTTACTTTTTCCCCTCTCTTTTTGTCACCACTATTGATGATACCTGCAGCTGCAGCAATTCCAGAGTTATTATTCTGAATACTTAATGGATAGATATCTTTACTTTAAGTGTATCACAAATTAAATAAAATACATTTTCAATATAAGAGTACCAATTATTTTTCTCAATTCAATCGTATCCCCCAAAATTACTCTAAAAAAAAAACACACACATACGTCGATATAACCAATTCGACAGTATCGTGGGAAACTTCCCAGTAAGTTTAATTGGAACTTCGCTAATATCTTGATGATTTCATAGTTATTTGAGAAGTTACCGATGATATCCAAGGAATTTTCAATGAGTTAGTTCCTCCGTATTCGCTATAGTTTGTAGTAAATACCCAAAACGAAATTAGTGTAGGTGTACGACTGTATGTGTGTGTATGCGTATGTGTATGTGTGTATGTGTACGTATCTATTTGTCTGTCTGTTCGTTTCTATGCAGAATTTTCATCTTAAGAGAGGATGATCAACGGTGATTGTTGGTGCTAAGTGGGTAGGGGTTTGTGCCGGTGTAGTTCAAAACATCGTCGAGAAAAGTCGATTTTACTATTTCATCCCAATCATCCTCCCTCTTCCTTCTTTAACTAATACAATTTGGAGGTCTCGTCCCTTTCCGCCGTACCAGCCTGTGATAATGTCGCCAATGCCTTACCAATAATACATACGCACACTCCTCAATCAACACATATATATACTACTTTACTAATATGTTTGAGCACTAAATACTATATGTAATGTATAATCGTAAGGCTATTTCAATTTCGATTCATTCATTCTGGCCCATTTTCACAATTTTTCCTATCGATATCGACACTTCAATCTGTCACTATACATTATATATATGTACAAAGTGATAGACCCAGAAAATGACAGACGCGAGTAGATGAATAGTTAATGAAATTCCCACCAAATCATTCATGACAACAAAGTACTTCTGTCAGAGAGGATAATTACCAAACATGTCACAATGAGGTTAAAAAAAATTGAAATAGAAAACTTCACGTTTAGAATGTTAAAATTGGTGACATACAATTTATCAATAGTCTATGTATATCTCCAAGGGCATTTTGTAAACGAATGATCAGTTTTTTGAACTCTTCTTAAAAATCTAATATAATTTTTACCCTGCTTATTCCTCACTCTCATCCTTCCTACTACTATCATGATTTTTTTATTTTCCACTTTTTCACATTAATTTTTTCAAAAAAAATTTTTTTTCGTTTAATTCTTAATTTAAAAAAATTGAAAATGGAAGTTTCTACAAGACACATATATGTCTTTCATGAAATTTTTCACCAAATGCAAATGAAAATCTATGTGCTTCCATATCTGTATCAGACTTTCGTCTTAAATCCCGACTATATTCTAGAATATCGATATTTATCCCAAAAATTAAAATATCGTGATTTACAGTTTTGCTGCCTTGAATATGCAAATTACGTTCAAGTAAATTTCTATTTCTCTCACAAGCGAACCTTCCATAATTTCGACGATCAGAAATATCGGTGCTGCTCCGAGCATTCATATTAGCCAAACAACCAGAACTACAGGAAATCAAACTTAAACATTCAGTGTAACATCTTTTCCATTCTCTTTCACATGTGGTGTAACTTATCCGCATATCATTTCCATAAGTTAGGATAAATTTAAAAAGTTAAATTCAAATTTTAGTCATTTATTTGCGAATAACAGAAAAAAATGGAACAGTTCCCGAAAATTATATTTAATCAGCTAGGTTGTTTGACTTTAATTATTTCTTTTTATAATAATACTACAGATTTTCTCTCAATAAATTTTTTGCTTCAAATTAGGAAAATTGAATAAACAGATGGAAAAAATGGAAATTTTCAAACAGTTTTAACGAAAAGAGAGGAAAAAATAAAGAACGGTTGAATTTGCACAGCTGACCTCAATTTTACAACCAAGAAAAAAAAAAAAAGGGTGAGGGTTCAGCGGAATAAAACGCGGGCAAGCAACACAATAACTAATTTATTTAAATCTTACACAACACTGAAGGTCATTTTTGCTCCAAAATTCCCAAAAATTTATTACCGAACAAATTTACCGTGGTTATTTGAATACTTTGTGAACACAACTTTATAACTTGTATTAAACCATCCATGGGAAAGAGGATAGTAACAATAACGCTTGTTTAACCAGCTCATTTTGTTGATTAAGTAATAAAATATGAAATTATCTCAATTATATTGCAAATATACAGGAGTAATTTCCGAGTATTTGACTCGATAATTTACCCATGTTAAGCTATGCTTATGAGATTGCTTATTCTATTTTGAAAATTTGTGGATGAGATACATTCGATATAGCATAATAAAACGACTACTTTTTTACACAATATCAACGATCTCTTGCCAAAAACTTACAGGCTTTACATCTTGATATCATGTGGAAATACTAAATGCCTCAGGTAATGTTGAAAAATGATAACGACGGAACATATCTTTGAAAGTTTCAAACAAGCGGAAATGAAATAAGTTGCAAGTTACTTTGATTAAAGTTAAAAGATTAAGTGGATTATACGGAAAGATTCATTCGTGAAAAAAGGCGAAATCCAAAATGCTATCAAAACTATTACTAAACAAAATACTTTACAACAACAGGTTGTAATGGTATGATGTTTAAAAAAAAATTACACGACTTTATAGAATCTTCTTCGGCAGCGTTACTAAATCTTTTCAAATGAAAAACTCAAGAAAATGGCTTTCAATTTTAATTTGTGCTTCAAGAGGACGTCAGATAATTTTGAACTAATTGCATATTTAATATATTAATTATCAAGGAAGAGAAGACCACATTTCAGAGCAAAGAATGCTAATTGCTACACTGAAATTGAAAGTATCGGTTTAGGATAAAACAAGAATATTACTACAAAACTTGAGAAATTTTATTTTCATCTCCAAAAAAATCTGCATAAAATAAAGAATAAGATCCAGACCTTCGAAGCAGCTGTCATCAATATCCCTGAATACCGAATCATCCATCGTCGAACATCATTTGTTTTCTATAAAATGCTGTAAAAAGCAAATAAAATTAGCTACGAAATTATCATTTATAACGAAACAAGCTATAATACATTCGTAAAAAGAAAAATGATCAGCGAAAAGATAATACGGAAAAAAATCAATCAACAATTGGATAAACTTAACAATAAAACTATTAAAAAAAAACTTAAATAGCTTGACTAAGCGCAGAAATCTTAACATTAAATCAAATTTCATTTTTCTGAAAAACTAATAAAAATAGTAATTCATTTTAAAACAGTTAAGTAGTTTCAAACTTATTTTTATGAGTTATTATTGACTTACTAAGCCAGTTCGTTGATATAAGTACGAGAAAGTGGTAGAACGAAGAAAAGAAAAGCTTTACAATACTCTCAAATGTATGTGTATTACATTGAGATTTAAGTGATTCTTAGTGATAAAACTCCGTCAACTATTTAAAATATTGCTTGAGAAATCGAAACAAAATTATTTGAAAGAGTTATTCCTGATTAATTAAGCAAGTAAATTACAAAATAATTCGAAAAAAGATCAATCAGAATGGTAAATTTGAAAAACACAAATACGAGTGTTTTTGTACAATGATGAAAAAATATCAATAAAGAATTACTTTAAATAACTGCTGCAATCATTAGCTTTTATTATTTCGAAACATTTTCATGCTTTTTTAGCACCATTTACTAACCTTATAATTATTATTAATCCTATCTCTTTGTGATTTATATTTTTTTCTTTTTACTTTGAACCATTTTCCCAAACATAAACAAACATAAGAAATACTGGCTAAATGTTTATTTTTCTAGCCTATATACTAGAATTTTATTTTTTTCTTAAATGACAATATTTTTTTTTTCATTTTTCATCCATTAGCTTCATTTGAGATTTCATAATTCATTCCTCAATTCACAGATAAATTTCAAACTATACAAATTCATTAAAATGAAAACAAAATACATTCCACGTTATCATATGATTGTTATCATTGTACTTTTTTCCGGATGGCATTACAGTGAAAATTCCGTGTACCGTACACGTAATCGTCTACGAGATAAGTAATAACTAGCGTTGAAAAGAAGAAATATCACGTATTCCTATCTTTATCGCTACCACAACGCTATACAATTAGCATTTCCACAAACCTGAAATGACAGACAAATGACAATGAAAAAAAAAAGAGTACGCACCAAGCACTTCACGCGTTGCGGATCCTCTATGACAAATGGTCTCACCATGCAAACATAAAAATCCCACAAGTATAGGGAGCATTTGTTACTTTTACATTTCTCTAATGTTATACTTATGATTGTATTTGTTTGTTAAGTCAATTAGCATTAGCTATTTCTATGCTAATACATATTTTGATTCAACAAAGATTGGAGAAGGAAAAGGGACAAATAACTTTTTTCGAAGCAAATAAATGTTTAAATTTATACAAAGAATTTAATTTTATTTTATATAATTTTAGCTTTAAAATTTAAAGCTTAAGATATCTACAATTGTTCAAATGCAACTTTACATGATTTCAACATTTAGGTTATTCTTATATAGTGTTAACATGAAATAATTTTCAAAAAAGATTCTTATACTGTTAACTGTTACAAATATTCCTTTAAATGCAACCGTTTAAATGTTGGATGTTAGATAGACTTCCGGTCATTCCGGATGTTTCTTTAATTAGCACACTTTGATAATAACATGCATTTTGAAAGTGTTAGACTGAAAGTGAAAAATATTCGATAGTTTTAAACTCAATCTTCGATAACTTTAAAATACGAAACCTTCTTATTTCTTATTTATCCTTTTTTCTCCCTCTCTCCCTCTCTCTCTCTCTTCCTCCCAATTATTAGCACAGTTTATCGAATATCCTAAATTAAAGTTGATAGAACTGTGTCGGTTTAAATTCCAATTTCATTTATTCTTGTTAACAAAATCTTTATCAAAATCGGTTTAATTAAATCATCAATTTTAACTATCAATTTAATCATTAACAAAGGAAAATTCATACTTTATAATTTTATAACCATTGAAATCAAAATGAATCATTTTTTTCTTAAATTCTTTAAATTTGCATAAGAATTTAGGCACTATTATTTATTCCAATACAAAAATATAACTTATAAGGTTATTTCAGTTTACTGTTAACTTAATATAATGTCAAATGAGGCGGTTGATACTAAACCAGTTATGCTACGATGTCCAATTTGTGAACGTTGGCAAATGGTTAATGAAATGCGTCAACTTTTACCTTGTTTACACCTGTTTTGTTCTACCTGTCTCAATAAGAAGAAAACAGATAAGGTTAGGTTAGATACTATAATTTACTTGGAATAATATTGATTATGAACGAAAGGAAAAGTTGGTTATTTCTTACAAAATCGATATTCATACAGTTTCATTTTTATTCCGGTTTTCTGAAATTAACCAAAATCAATAAAGTAGACAAAATTTAAAATTTTTGAAATATTAAATAGCTAAAGTTAAATTTGAAATTAAATAAGAATTGTTTTTAATAAATTTTGCGAAGTATTCAGATATGTCTAATGCTTCATTGTTTTTCCAATATTTGCACCGGAACTCTCACACTGAATAATTGTGATAACGATATGTGTCCTAGGTAAGAAAGCTTTTTAATTTAAATAATAGTTTAAAAGTTGTACAAAAATAAACTAAATTTTTCTTTTAATTAATAAATTTAAATGCTTAGTAACTCACAAAAATTCTTACTTTTATTATTGTTTTTCGTTAAAACATTATTTTTCAAAATTCTTATCACATAAATTCATTTCTTTTCTCATTTTTTATAAATGTCAATTCTACGTTGCATACTTCAGATTTAGCAGTATGATATTTACTTGAACAAATAAAAAATTGATCAAACTCGAGATGCAAAGATTGAGAGTAAAAGAGAGAACAACATGTAGAAGGGTTGCAAAGATTGAAAGTAAATAAAGAAAACAGTATATGAAGAGATAGTAGAGATTGGGAGTAAAGTAAGAAAACAATATCTGTAAGTACTGTAAAGACTGAGAGTAAAAATTAGAAATTAGTATTCGGAAATTTTATAGCAGTAAAATAATAAATGTGAAGAAAATTTTAAAAAAGGAAAATTAATGAGAATTATAGTGCGTAATATAGGATAAAAGTAATTATTTAATTATCTACAAATAATTGTTTGTCATGATGAAGCTCTCGAGATTATAAATAGTCTTTAAAAAAAAGTAGTAATATTAGCTATCAAATTTTTTTCTTCTGTTCAACGAATTTAAACTTGTATGCATTTTAAAAACTATAAAATAATCAACTGATGAACTTTGCAAAGTTTGTATTCCGTCCACATTTTTCCATTGATTTTAGAAAGATAATAGAAAATCTATTGACTTTTAAAAATAATTGATAATAATTGAAAGTTAAAATTTTAATGGAATTATCAAAATTTCAACTGAATCATTTTAGATGGCAAAAAAAAAAAAACTGATAATGAAATTTTTATTTTTAAAAATTTGAATTCATGTGTGCTACGGAAGTGAAATAATTTCATTTTATTTAAAAGTGGTTTACTTGAAAAATGTTTATTTACTGATAATTTAGAATGATGATAATGGTAAGTATACGCTTATTGTTATATTTACCACTTACATGCTTTAGTGAAATCAGTGGAGTTTAAAAAATAATTTGGATATAAACAAATAGATAAAAGTAATAATATTCAATACTAACAGAACTCGTAAAAAATTTGGGATAAAATTTGAAAATTAAAATTAAAAAAAAGCAAATGGAAAGAAAAAAAAATCTCTGTTATTATAGGAAATTATCATTTTATGACTCAAATCCTATAGGAAATTGCAAGCATGAATTGTGCAGTCCGTATCCAAAATTCAACCAGCAGGTTAAAAAAAATAATTTGAAAATTTTTTAGAAAAAGCAAAAAAGAATTAAATTAAAACTGTGTGGATAATTTATTAGAAAGAATTAATTATCAGTATAAAAAGGAAAGATTAAAGATTTAATATAATTTAGATAAAAAAAATTTTTTTTTGAAATTTCAAAGATTCATTATTAACTCCATCATTTATTATTGACAATAAATTTTATAATTAATTTTATGAAAAAATTTGTAATAATTTTTTTTAATAAACAAAATTATGGAAGGAAAAAAACATTGTTCTAAATATGAAAAAGAACATTTTTTATATATTTTGTTAATCTTTTAATAAAACAATCATTTGATATTGTATTATTTGTTTCAGTATGCCCAGTATCAGACTGCAATGAGCCATTAAGTGACAGTGACACTACTGAATTATGTGATGGTTGTAAAAAAATTTTATTAGATGTCAAATACATTGTCACCAAATGTTGCAATGCACGATACTGTCTTCAATGTGCAGTTAAAAAATCATTTCTCAGTTTAAATCGTTTGTTTTAATTTTTCAAAAACAAATAATTAATTATTTGTTAGCATTTTTTATATTTTAAAATATTGAAATATGGAAAGGATGATGAAAATTACATTAAAAAAAAAATACGGCAAATTAATTTATATCCAAAATATAAGTTTAAAAAATGGAATAAGTGTAACTAGGGTGAAAAAAAGCCAAAAACAAAAGTAAATGTAAGAATAAAAATAAGTTTTTTCTTTTTTTTTAAAAAAAAAAAAAAAGAAATTAGTATAATACGTGTTTTCACGTAATTAGTATCGTATAAATATTTGTAAAATAATTAATATCTTGCATACATTTTATATAAGTTAACATAAATTTTCTGTTTTCTTTCTGTATTAATAATTATGTAAAGCAGTAATTCGGTTAAGTGTTTATAGTTCAATCGTAAATTTGATTCTTATTCCGTACGTTTATGCATTAAATTTTTATTAAATGAAATTACAATATTTTATTTGATTTACTGAATTATATTTGGTCTAAATTTTTTTTTCTGATTTTAATAATAAATGTGTTACATATAACTTGAATGACTTACAAAATTTATTTTTAAAGATTTTTTTTTTTTTTTTTTTAAAGAATTTAACATTTTTGCACTAATAAACTAAACTAATATAACATTTATTTCAATAAAATATTATACCCAATGTAATGAGTATTTAGCGGAAGAGAGTTATGCAAATGTCACATGTCCAGAAGGTAAATGTCTCGAAAAAGATTCTCGAAATAGCAAAAATAATCGTCCTTCCCTTCAAGTTCGTTTTTCATTTCATATTTAATTTTTTAATTTTATTGTTTTTTGTCAAAGTAAAATATTATGTTAAAAAACAAAAAAAATATTACAAAGAAAAAAAAAGAAAATTACATTTAAAAATTTTTGAGAATTTCTTAACAATGTTTGATGATTAAAATAATAAAAATGATTCGTTAACCAATCAATCGATCAATAAACAAAAAAATTCATTAATCAATCAATCAATAATAGATTACTCAATATTACATATCTTAATAATCTAATAAAAACTTTTTGTTCATACTACATTTGATTCTTGAATAATTTTTGTTCTAACCATCAAATATTATTAAGACCACATGCTAGCATGTAAATAAATTAGCAATTGTTAGAAAAAAAGAGCAAAAGATTTGAAATAAATGAACTAAAAAGTATTAGTAAAGATGAGCAATGCAGTACATCTAAGTTAATCTTTGTGACAAAGCCAAAAAGATTAATATAATTTGACAATTTCATTCTCAATTTGTACGATTGTTATTGTCAGTTAGAATAAAAATAACCCAATTAAAACAAAATTTGTTTGAAAAAAATAAATATTTAAATAGAATTTAAAAATTTTAAAAAAAATTAAGAAAGATGAAAGAGAAAAAAAGCTAAAAAAGAAGGAAAAAATTAGTTGAAATAAATGAAATAAGAAAATTTTTAAGTGATGAACATAACGTAGCGTTATTGTACTGATTAAAATAAGTATTTGAGGATACAATTTTAAGATTTCACATTTTATTTTTTTTTTCATTCTCTTTTTACTCTTTAAAATACAAAATGTAAATTTTAAAGTTTAAGTAAATATGAAAAAAAGTGGGCGACAATTCTTCATTTTTTCTTCTTTTTTTTCTCGCTATTAAATATAATTGTTTGAGTATGAATAAGCAAGTATTTAGATATGAATAAGATAAGATGGCATGAATAAATTATTATTTAGCAAATATTCTCTCCGAAAATTTTTTTTCTGATTATTTCCGACTTACTCATTCAGTTTGACTATTTTACTTATTGTTTATTTTAAAGTAGGTTTAAAGTATTTGATTTGCTTAATGATACAGTTTACTAATTTATATATATATATATATGATTAAACATTCGACTGATTGATTTGCAAATTCTTAACTTATTCTGATTAACTTTGCAAAATTAAAATGAACAACTTTAATTTAAATCAATAGTTTGGTTCTATGTAAAATTGATTTAATCACATTTTAAATAATTAAGTCCTGAAATCTTTAAAAATTTAAATTTTAATGTTTGAAAAAATTTTAATTTTTTTTTTTAATAGATTTTTTTAAAATAAATCATTAAAAAATTGCACTACGGTTATTATTAATTATTTCCGGAAATATCATTTCATATAAAAACGATTAAAATTTATAATTTAAATTTTATCTAAATTCGAGCAAAATTTCATCATTATTTAAGTGATTACTTTTGATTTCATTGTTACAGTTGTTGAATTTAATAGTTTTTAATTTCTTATTTTGATATTCCAATCAAAATTTTCCATTGTAATCTCAAAATTTAAATTTGTTTCACTTTTTCATTAGCCTAATTTCTCTTTCCCTTTTTTTTAAAAGATAGCTCAATGTATGGGCCAAGATGGTTGTGAAGGCCAAGCACTTAATGGCTTCCCATCCAGCAATGAGTGTGACCACGAGATTTGCATCGATTGCTTGGACAAAATGCTTACTGAATGTGAAATTACCTGTAATTACATATTTCATTCATTCATTTTTTTTCTAAAATTAATGAAATAAAAAATTTCAAAACAAAAATAAAAATTTTGAAAATTTAAGCTTCACCGCCAGTATGTCCTAATGCATTATGTCATCAACCATATGCGATTGATTCAGTTATTGCGCTTAAAGCATTTTTCCCACAGCGCACCAAATATTTCAATCATTTTGCGCTTGAAAATCAAACTTATTTTCTCATTAAAGATGAATCAATTTCTGTTAGCGCTTTTTTTTAAATTTTTATTTAAAATATTATATTTATTATGAAAATACTAAAAAAAAAAATTAAAATTAACATGCATATATCTTTCAATGTAATTAATTTTATAAAATAATTTTTTAAATATAATTTAGAAATCCGAAATATCACCAAATTTTACGGTTAGTTCACGTCGAATGGAAGTGAAATGTGAACTTCAAGGACCAGATGAAAGTAATCAAACGACTGTTATTTTTGACCGAAAGGGTAATGTAGCAGATTTCATACGTGAAATACGTCGAGCATTGAAAATTTTACCACTTGATAAAGTGATTGTTTAAATTTTTTTTTTCATACTTCAACAGTTTTAGAAATTCAACATAAAATTTATATGTAAATGAATTTACAAAAAAAAAAGCTAAAAACGCTATGAATGATATTATCAATATAAATTTATCATACTGCTATTAACAATAAAATTTAATATCAGTTCTGTTAATTTTCCAAATTTTCCTGACAAAAAGTTTATTAAATTATTAAATATTCAATGATTTACTACTGCAATTGATAATAATTTAAATTAATTTAATTGTTAATTCATTTCATTATTTTCAGTTGTAATTTTTAAATTTGAACACTAATTTTAATGCACTAATTTTTTTTATGTACTGAGAAAAATATTTATTATCATTTTGATTAATATTTATTTATCATAAATAATCAATTTATACCAAAAAAAAAAAAAAAAATTTTTTTTTCATCAATTTTTTTAATTCCTTCATTAGTAGAAAAGTTAAATTTCTTTCTTTTTTGAATTGTTAAAATTTATTTTTTTCAAAAAAACAAAAAAGAAATAAAATTATGGCAAATATATTAATAATTAATTTAAGGTTTATGGATATTACATACGACGCGATTATAACAAAAACGACGAGAAATGCAATGATCGAGAAGAATTAGTGATGGATGCAAAATCGATCGATCGTTCAATTAGTGAATTAAATTTAACAACTGATAGTGTAGTGATCGTTGATACAAGCGGTATTGTACAAATGAAAACATTGTAAAATGTATCTCGAAAATGTTTTTATTAATTAATAATATTTTATTATTAATTAATAATATTATTTCATTTAATATTAATTTCTAATATATTAAATGGAATCTTAAAATTATAATTTTTTTAGAACAAAAAAAGAACGAAGAAAAAACGAAAAATAGAAAGAAAAAGTAGCCATTTTCTGTTTCTTTTTAATAAATAAATTTAATAATAGGTTTTTTTTTTTCTTTCTTTCTTTTCTTTTTTTAAAATATAAATTTTATTTTTGCAAAAAAACTTTAATAAATAAAAAAAAGAAAGAAGAAATTTTATTTTTTGTTGATTTTTCATAGAATTTTTTTCAGAATTACAAGTAATTTTTTTTTTTTTTTTTTGTTTAGAAAGACTGCGCAATTTTTTTTAATAAAAGTTAATAAGCAAAAATCAATTCTAAATTAAAATTAATTATGATAAAAAATAACACATTCCTATTATAATTATTTGTTGAACATTTATTTTAAAATTTTGTTTCTGCAAAAATTTCAATAATTTTTTTCGTAATAATAGTATATAACACAAAACTAAAAAATTGAGAGATAATGAAATATATAAAAGTATTATGTTGTAATAATATTATAAATAGTACGAAATATTAAAATAATAAAAGATAAAAATAAAAAAAATATAAGTTTGAATTCAAATTTTTGGTTTGAATATGAATTTTATTCCATCTGTTTACTTTTCACTTCTAATTTTTTCTTTTTTAAAATTAATTAATAAAGTATCCATACAAATAATAACAACACATAAAATTATTACACTTTAAAAAATTACTATCCAAAAAAAAAAAACGAAAAATAGGAGAATAAAAGTTTTTTTTTTTCATTTATTAATTTGATATAAAAAATTGTTAATAAATTAGATTTGAAATTATAATAGGAATTTAACGAATAACAAAAAAATTGATTGAAAAAAATTTCTTTTAATTGTTGCTGCTTGCTTTTTTACACGTTTTAAATTGAAATTTAATTTTCATCGTTAATTTTCATCGTGAAATATTTTGATATATTAAATTTAAATCATTTTTAATTTTCATTTTATATCAATAATTCTTATTATTCAGTCTGTCATCTTTTTACCATTTCAAACTTTTTTTTAAAAGATTGTTGATTATTTGTTCCATGATTCATTCTATATCATTTCTCCTCTTTACTATTATCATTTATCAGCAGGTTTAAGACTGTCATTCTCATTTCACTTATCATATCAGTGTTATCAAGTACTTTTTACTTTCTCTATTGATCTCTTTTTCATTTTTAAATTTGAAAATTTCTCTGCAATAATTTAAAAAAACAAAATTTAAATTCTACTACATATACATATAAACGTGAAGGAAATTTGTAGAAAAATCACGAAATATTTCAAATTTTAGAATTTTAATTACATCAGCGTTTCATTTAATTAAAATAATGACACTGCGCAATCATTTTTTATTGTTTGCATTTAATCAGTAAGTTTAAACTTTTTTCTATTGAAACACTGAAAATTTTCCACAAAAAACTTTAAAATTTTAAAACAAAAATTCAGAAAATTTTGCAATAAATTAATTAAACCATAAAATTTTAAAGTAATAATAACATCATTGTGTATAAATGCTTTTTTTTTCCTCTTTTTTCATTCTTTTGCATTCATTTCTCTCATTTTTTTTCTTTTTTTGAATATATAAAATTCTCTTTTTCTCTTTTTTTTTTTTACAAATATTTGCTATGAATTTATAAAAGAAAAAAAAATTGTTGTGATGCTAAAAAAGCCAGTTTGATTAATATTTTATAAACCTCTTTAATATTATCTTTCTTCTCACATTTTTGCTTAGTTAATAATCAGAATAGAAATTTAAACAAAAATTCAAATGTCATATTTTTCATATTTAAACAAAAAAAAAATGATTTAAACAAATCTAACGAATATATTTCGTTTCTTAATTTATTTTCTAATTTAAATTCCTCTGATATTGATCTTGTAAAGTCAATTATTAAAATACGTATTCACACACACTTTTGAAATTTAAAATAAGAAAATGAATTAGAATTTCAATTTAATTTTTTTCATTTCATATTATCATTTAAAAGTAAAAAAAAATTCTCTCATCAAAATAAGTGCAAATAGTATGAGTTATCCCATAGATTATAATTGAAATTTAATAGTATTTTAAAATAAATTATTCAAATTAGTACAAATATTTTATTCAGCAAAATTTCATCGAACCATACACTACGCCAATTTTCCTTTTTTTTCCTTTTTTTTAACAAATCTAAAAGTGTTTTTGTCAAATTACACATTACTTTTATGTTAGTGCTTTACTTTTTTTCATGCTAATATATTACTTACTTATAAGTAAATTTAAGTATACCAATAGAAATTCAAATTTATTTCACATTTCAAAAATAAAAAATTCATTTGCTGTAATTGTTGTAATACTAAAAATGCTAATATTTGCTTCATTATTTTAAAATTCATCAAAAGCTAATAAAGATTATTTGTTTTATAAGATTTATCTCCGAGAAATCTCGAGATTTTATTTTTTTTTCTAATATGCATAATTTGGTTTTAGTAGTAGCAAAAAAGAAAAAAAAAACTTTACAACTGTTAAAAAAATCAGTGATAAAAGAAGAAATTATCATTTATCCATTCTTGCTTATTACACTTTATTAAACGAACTTGCAAAGTGTCATCTATCATTCATTCCTGTTTTGCCGGATCGAATATCAATCAGTAATAAAAGTAAATTTATCTACCGGAAACAGTAAATACGGCAAAAAGATTGCTATCCATGAATTCATTAATTTCTGTCATGTAATAATCATCATCTCATTAACATTCATATAATAATAATTTCTGCTTCACATCAAAATTAAAATTTCTCTTCAGTAATTATCGTATTCTTAATTAATATAATAATTTTAAAAATGTCCATCCGTTTTGAATTTAAAGCAACTTTAAAATTAAGATTAAAAAATAATTATTGCTTATAAATTAAATATTTTACACAAAAAGTATCATTTGAAAAATTAACCGATGATAATTTATTATAAAAATCAAAATTAGAAAATCATCAGCAATTATTAGTATTTATTCACAATTTTAATTGTAGCATTTCTTTAAAATATTAAATTTTCGTATAATTTAATAAAAAAAGTCTGAAAAAAAGTCAAAAATTAAGTAATTTAAATTCATTAAAAAAAATATTTTTTTTTTCAATTTTCATTTAACTCTCAAAAAATATTTCAGGAAACAATTAGAAATTGAAAACGAAATTTAAATGAACAATAAGCAATGAATTGTTTTAAATATTATTGTTCAATTAATAATAAAAGAAAATGTGTAAGATATCTTTTTGTTTTGTTTTGCTGATAATTTCAATCATTTAATATTCATTTTTTTATTAATAATTACTTATTACCTTACTAGGATATTTATACTACAATCATTATTATATTATACTAATCATATTGTCATAAAATTTGTACGAAATAATTTTACTTCTCTTTATAAATTGTTCCAATCAAATTATTATTCGATGATAAAATACTGATAATATTCTAAATGGAAAATTATTTTGTGAGTTTCAAATAATGATAATATTCTAGTTTATGCATATCAGTAATGATATTTGAACTTACTTCAGCTAATATTAATTATTTCATTTAAATTTGTTTTGCTGATATACTGAAATTGCAGTAAGTTTTTCATATAAAAGTAAATTAACTTGCAAACTTTTCCTTTTTTTTTCTCTTCCTTATCATAATGATATCATTTTTGATTCATTCATTGCTTACTTTTTCTCGTTTAATTTTTCAAATTAGAAGAATTTCCTTTGATGTGTTAGATTAGTGGCAACCATTAATCAACCAGCCAACCAGCCAACTGGCCAACCAGCCAACTGGCCAACTAGCCAACTAGCTCACTGGCCAACTAGCCAGCTAGCAAACCAGCCAACTAATTAACCTTTAATCTGTAGCTAGCAGATACATCATTCATCCCTTTTGTTTCAAACGCAATTTTAAAACAAAAAATTGATAAGAATAATTTTAGAACTAAACGAAGTCAATAGATGTAAGTTTTGACTAAAGATTAAAAAAGGATTATTACACTAAGCTAATTTATATATTATCAACAATGATAAATGATCGCTTGATTGTTTTATTTTTTTTTTTTTTTCATCGTTTTAAAATATTTCGTTAAACGTTTCATTTACGTTATATTATGTTTATACACGTTTTTAATGATTTGCAGTACTATATATTACTGATAACACACGTAAACGTGTAAACTTGCGTCTTTTGTGTATTTATTATTTATCAATAACATTTTTTTTTTTTGAATATTTAAAAAAAAATTCTCACTTTATAATGTTTGAAGTGTAATACAGTGATATAATTTTGTTGAATTAAATTAGTTATTGCAAAAATTCCAAAAAAAAAAAATGGCTTAATTAATTGATTGTAAAGTTTGCATTATTTTTCTAAACATCAATCTGCAACGTTTATATTTCTCCAAAATTCATTAATTTACTAAAATCTTTTTTTTTCGAAATTTACTAAAAATTTTAAACTTACTGCAATATATGTGAGAAAAGAATTTTAATATTACAACTGAATATTACTTACACATTTATACATGCACTATGCATGCAAACAAGCAGTAAGTATACATATGCAAATTACGCTGACATTGCATAATGTCGTGAAGAAAATTAGCATATTTGTAAATAAACAATTAATTAGTTATCAGCATAATGTGGAATAGTCATTATATTTTAGAAAGATCTAACTATTTCTTTATTTATTCATTCTTTTATTTACTTATTTATTATTTGTTGATTTATTTATTCAGTTATTTATCCACTCTTTTATTTATCTTTCGTTTATTTATATATTAATTGATTTGTTTATCAAATTATTTATTTTCTGTTTGCCAACGTCTTTTTTTTTTCTTTTTTGCGAATTGATTAATTAAGCCTATTTATTT